GGGGGTACAGGATGGCTATGGAGGGGTAGAGGATGGGGGTACATGATGAATATGGAGGGGTACAGGATGGCTATGGAGGGGTAGAAGATGGGGGTACCGGAGGGGTAGAAGATGGGGGTACCGGAGGGGTAGAGGATGGGGATACAGGATGGCTATGGAGGGGTAGAGGATGGGGGTACAGGATGTCTATGGAGGAGTAGAGGATGGGGTACAGGATGGGTATGGAGGGGTAGATGATGGGGGTACAGGATGGCTATGGAGGGGTAGAAGGTGGGGGTAGAGGATGGCTATGGAGGAGTAGAGGATGGCTATGGAGGGGTAGAAGGTGGGGGTAGAGGATGGCTATGGAGGAGTAGAGGATGGCTATGGAGGGGTAGAAGGTGGGGGTAGAGGATGGCTATGGAGGAGTAGAGGATGGCTATGGAGGGGTAGAAGGTGGGGGTAGAGGATGGCTATGGAGGAGTAGAGGATGGCTATGGAGGGGTAGAAGGTGGGGGTAGAGGATGGCTATGGAGGAGTAGAGGATGGCTATGGAGGGGTAGAAGGTGGGGGTAGAGGATGGCTATGGAGGAGTAGAGGATGGCTATGGAGGGGTAGAAGGTGGGGGTAGAGGATGGCTATGGAGGAGTAGAGGATGGCTATGGAGGGGTAGAAGGTGGGGGTACAGGATGACTATGGAGGGGTAGATGATGGGGGTACAGGATGGCTATGGAGGAGTAGAGGATGGCTATGGAGTGGTAGAAGGTGGGGGTAGAGGATGGCTATGGAGGGGTAGAGGATGGGGTACAGGATGGGGATGGGGGGGGAGGGGATCAGGATGGCTATGGAGGAGTAGAGGATGGGGGTAAAGGATGGCTAGGGAGGAGTAGAGGATGGGGGTACAGGATGGCTATGGAGGAGTAGAGGATGGGGGTACAGGATGTCTATGGAGGAGTAGAAGATGGGGATACAGGATGGCTATGGAAGGGTAGAAGGTGGGGGTACAGGATGACTATGGAGGGGTAGAGGAGGGGGGTACAGGATGGCTATGGAGGAGTGTCCCTCTGTATAACTGTCCCCGGCACACGGTGGAGGGTGCTCCCAGTGTCCCTCTCTGTAACAGTCCCCGGCACACGGTGGAGGGTGCTCCCAGTGTCCCTCTCTGTAACAGTCCCCGGCACACGGTGGAGGGTGCTCCCAGTGTCCCTCTCTGTAACAGTCCCCGGCACACGGTGGAGGGTGCTCCCAGTGTCCCTCTCTGTAACAGTCCCCGGCACACGGTGGAGGGTGCTCCCAGTGTCCCTCTCTGTAACAGTCCCCGGCACACGGTGGAGGGTGCTCCCAGTGTCCCTCTCTGTAACAGTCCCCGGCACACGGTGGAGGGTGCTCCCAGTGTCCCTCTCTGTAACAGTCCCCGGCACACGGTGGAGGGTGCTCCCAGTGTCCCTCTCTGTAACAGTCCCCGGCACACGGTGGAGGGTGCTCCCAGTGTCCCTCTCTGTAACAGTCCCCGGCACACGGTGGAGGGTGCTCCCAGTGTCCCTCTCTGTAACAGTCCCCGGCACACGGTGGAGGGTGCTCCCAGTGTCCCTCTCTGTAACAGTCCCCGGCGGAGGGGTACAGGATGGCTATGGAAGGGTAGAAGGTGGGGGTACAGGATGACTATGGATATTGGGCGGGAGAGGATGGGGGTACAGGAAGGGTATGGAGGGGTAGATGGGGTATGGAGGGGTACAGGATGGCTATGGAGGAGTGTCCCTCTGTATAACTGTCCCCGGCACACGGTGGAGGGTGCTCCCAGTGTCCCTCTCTGTAACAGTCCCCGGCACACGGTGGAGGGTGCTCCCAGTGTCCCTCTCTGTAACAGTCCCCGGCACACGGTGGAGGGTGCTCCCAGTGTCCCTCTCTGTAACAGTCCCCGGCACACGGTGGAAGTTGCTCCCAGTGTCCCTCTCTGTAACAGTCCCCTGCACACAGTGGAAGTTGCTCCCAGTGTCCCTCTCTGTAACAGTCCCCGGCACACGGTGGAGGGTGCTCCCAGTGTCCCTCTCTGTAACAGTCCCCGGCACACGGTGGAGGGTGCTCCCAGTGTCCCTCTCTGTAACAGTCCCCGGCACACGGTGGAGGTTGCTCCCAGTGTCCCTCTCTGTAACAGTCCCCGGCACACGGTGGAGGGTGCTCCCAGTGTCCCTCTCTGTACCAGTCCCCGGCACACGGTGGAAGTTGCTCCCAGTGTCCCTCTCTGTAACAGTCCCCTGCACACAGTGGAAGTTGCTCCCAGTGTCCCTCTCTGTAACAGTCCCCGGCACATGGTGGAGGGTGCTCCCAGTGTCCCTCTCTGTAACAGTCCCCGGCACACGGTGGAAGTTGCTCCCAGTGTCCCTCTCTGTAACAGTCCCCGGCACACGGTGGAAGGTGCTCCCAGTGTCCCTCTCTGTAACAGTCCCCGGCACACGGTGGAGGGTGCTCCCAGTGTCCCTCTCTGTAACAGTCCCCGGCACACTGTGGTGGACGTTTCCTGTGCCCGGTGGCTGACACTTCCTCTCTATATAAGATGTGACACATGATGTAAATTCTATGGGCTTTGTTCCTGTGGCGGGGTGGGGTGGGAGGAGGACCCGTAACAGGCCCCTCACCAACATTGTCCTCTAATACTCCAGGTGACAGTCCATGCTGAGAGCTGTAGTCCCCTGGCCTCCAATGGTCCCCATGTATATTTCGGCTGACACCTTTTATCCCGATATACAGCCCGTTAGAGGAAACGTTCCATGGCTCAGGATACAGTTTACACGGAGTTGCCAGGGCTCCTCTGTTATAGTAACACTGAAGTTTCAATTAGAGAAGTGGGCGTGGAAGCAGGCAGCGTCTTCTATCCCTTTAGATATCTCGCAGCGCGCTGGGAATCCTTTGTCATTTGTTACATTGTTGTTCAATTTTCATGAATCTGTTCTATAAAGCGGCGCGCTTGGTCTCCGTCAGATCGTACGAGCCAGTTGTGGCCCCTAGGCTCCTGTGTCTGCTCTGGAGATCACCTTCCCTGTCATTTGTATTCCCCGGTGTCTCAGCCTCCTGCTTGTGTCTCTTCTGGGAGTTGTAGTTCCTTGGCAGCTAGATGAATCAGGGTCTGGTGTCTGCACTGGGATGATAACATGCATTGAGCGTGTCACAATCCTAATCCCTCCATTGAAGGGTCCGATAAGAGTCCAGGAAATGCTGCGGTCAAACATCTGCCTTTTGTGGGGGTCACTCATTGGGCCACATCCTGAACGACGGTGCTCAGAAAGAGGAAGACGGCCGCGGCTCAGATAGAAAGAAGCTGTGCGGAGTTGGGAGCTCTGAAATGCCCTGAACTCCGTTCTCCAGCCCGATGAACTGCTGCACGTCTGATAAATCTTTTCTTGGGGTTCGGTTGCCTTTGAACTAGAGGTGCACCGAAATGGACATTTTACAACCGAAACGCAACCGAAATAAAAAAAATTGTCAGGCCGAAACCGATACCGAAAATGTTTTTTTATTTAAATTTTTTCACATTTTTAAAATATTTTATTTATTTTTTATAAACTTTTAAATTTTTTAAAATATATTTTTTTCATTTATGAATTCTTTTTTTATTAAATATTTTTATTTTTTACATTACTTTTAGGGGCTTCGGGGACATATTAGGGGTCTAAACAGAACCCTAATATTTCCATTTTAAAATAGAAAAAGAGATTGAGACGCGCAGAGTCCTCGGAGACGCGCAGAGCCCTCAATCTCTTTTTCTGTGCCCCTGAAATCAAAGAACAGCAATCCTCTATACTGAGTGTTCCTGATCATTGATAACACGATTACATAGTATGTTTACTATGACCACAATTATGAATAAACAGGAAGTGATGTAGATGGGATGTAGATCACTTCCCATTCATTCATAATTGAAGATATAGTACACTACCATGTCCTCAATTATCTACACACACTCAGCGATCACTGAGTGCTTGTACCCGCTCTCCTCTCTGATACGCTGTCACAGGAGGCTGATCGAGCAGTGTAGGGAGGAGAGCTCCGCCTCCTGTGACAGCGCTGTCTCCGCCCCCACACCGCTCTGCCATACTGTGATAGGCGGCTGAGCGGTGTGGGAGGAGACGCCGGCCGCTCACTGCGCTCTCCTCTCGCAGCGCTCGGCCGGCTATCACAGTTTCTCTCCTCCCGGCTGGGACACAGAGCAGCGCCCAGCGGGGAGGAAAGAAATCAGGGATGCGCCCATGTATCGGCAGGAAAATGGCACCTTCGGCATTATGCCTAAAGTGCATCCCTACTTTGAACCTTCCTGATAGAAATCTGGTCATTGCTGGTCTGTCTGAAAATGCTGTTTGTCTGGTTCTAATGTTCACTCTCTGGCCTCAGTATTTGGAGTCACTGACCCGGAAAGGTGGAGGTTCTGATCTGCATTCTGGGTCAGGGACTTCAAGTATTGGAACCCGAGTTCCTCATATCAGATAATGGGGAAGAAGAACAAAGCAATGGCAGCCTTCATGTCATTATAATCAATGTGTTGTCTCCCATCTCTCATCCTCCCTCTGACTGATTTTCTCTCCTTTTAACAGGAAAGCGAAGACCCAGAGTCCACAGGCCGCGCTCCCCGATATTTGAGGAGAAGGACGTGCCGCCTCTGGAGTTCCCCAAGTCTTCGGAAGATTTGCTGCTGCCCTCGGAGCACCTGATGAACGTGATAGCCATCTACGAGGTGCTGAGGAACTTTGGCACGGTCCTGCGGCTTTCCCCTTTCCGCTTCGAGGACTTCTGCGCCGCTCTTGTAAGCCAGGAGCAGTGCACCCTGTTGGCCGAGACGCACGTCGCCCTTCTGAAGGCTTTTTTTTATTTAAATTTTTTCACATTTTTAAAATATTTTATTTATTTTTTATAAACTTTTAAATTTTTTAAAATATATTTTTTTCATTTATGAATTCTTTTTTTATTAAATATTTTTATTTTTTACATTACTTTTAGGGGCTTCGGGGACATATTAGGGGTCTAAACAGAACCCTAATATTTCCATTTTAAAATAGAAAAAGAGATTGAGACGCGCAGAGTCCTCGGAGACGCGCAGAGCCCTCAATCTCTTTTTCTGTGCCCCTGAAATCAAAGAACAGCAATCCTCTATACTGAGTGTTCCTGATCATTGATAACACGATTACATAGTATGTTTACTATGACCACAATTATGAATAAACAGGAAGTGATGTAGATGGGATGTAGATCACTTCCCATTCATTCATAATTGAAGATATAGTACACTACCATGTCCTCAATTATCTACACACACTCAGCGATCACTGAGTGCTTGTACCCGCTCTCCTCTCTGATACGCTGTCACAGGAGGCTGATCGAGCAGTGTAGGGAGGAGAGCTCCGCCTCCTGTGACAGCGCTGTCTCCGCCCCCACACCGCTCTGCCATACTGTGATAGGCGGCTGAGCGGTGTGGGAGGAGACGCCGGCCGCTCACTGCGCTCTCCTCTCGCAGCGCTCGGCCGGCTATCACAGTTTCTCTCCTCCCGGCTGGGACACAGAGCAGCGCCCAGCGGGGAGGAAAGAAATCAGGGATGCGCCCATGTATCGGCAGGAAAATGGCACCTTCGGCATTATGCCTAAAGTGCATCCCTACTTTGAACCTTCCTGATAGAAATCTGGTCATTGCTGGTCTGTCTGAAAATGCTGTTTGTCTGGTTCTAATGTTCACTCTCTGGCCTCAGTATTTGGAGTCACTGACCCGGAAAGGTGGAGGTTCTGATCTGCATTCTGGGTCAGGGACTTCAAGTATTGGAACCCGAGTTCCTCATATCAGATAATGGGGAAGAAGAACAAAGCAATGGCAGCCTTCATGTCATTATAATCAATGTGTTGTCTCCCATCTCTCATCCTCCCTCTGACTGATTTTCTCTCCTTTTAACAGGAAAGCGAAGACCCAGAGTCCACAGGCCGCGCTCCCCGATATTTGAGGAGAAGGACGTGCCGCCTCTGGAGTTCCCCAAGTCTTCGGAAGATTTGCTGCTGCCCTCGGAGCACCTGATGAACGTGATAGCCATCTACGAGGTGCTGAGGAACTTTGGCACGGTCCTGCGGCTTTCCCCTTTCCGCTTCGAGGACTTCTGCGCCGCTCTTGTAAGCCAGGAGCAGTGCACCCTGTTGGCCGAGACGCACGTCGCCCTTCTGAAGGCTGTCCTTCGAGAGGAGGACACCTCCAATACTACCTTTGGACCAGCCGACCTAAAGGACAGCGTCAACTCCACCTTGTACTTCATCGACGGCATGACCTGGCCGGAGGTGCTGCGCGTTTATTGCGAAAGCGACAAGGAGTATCAACACGTCCTTCCCTTCCAGGAAGTGGACGACTATCCGTACGGCCCTATAGAGAGCAAGGTGCAAGTGCTGCTCTTCTTGGTGGACCAGTTCCTTACCACCAACATGGCTCGCGAGGAGTTGATGTCCGAAGGCGTCATCACGTACGACGACCATTGTCGAGTGTGCCACAAACTGGGGGACTTGCTGTGCTGCGAGACCTGCTCCGCTGTCTACCACCTGGAGTGTGTAAAGCCGCCTCTGGAGGAGGTACCCGAGGACGAGTGGCAGTGCGAGGTGTGCGTGGCTCACAAAGTGTCTGGCGTGAACGACTGTGTGGCCGAGATCCAAAAAAACAAGCCGTACATAAGGCACGAGCCCATCGGCTACGACCGCCACAGACGGAAATACTGGTTTTTAACCAGACGCATCATCATGTAAGTGAACCATTTTTCTGCTGGTCGGAGGTGACTTGTAATAGTCCACGACAACCCATCCAAGTCCTTGTTGACCTTTGTTTCTGGTGCATGGAGGGGCACAGATTGGACACAGGGTATAAGCCAATCCCCATCATTTAGCTGAGAGGTCATCTCTTCCCATGGCCAGTCCACTTCATCCTCTAGGATAGTCCACTTGTGGGAGTGGAGGCCTGATGTCTCATCGGCCAGACGTTGGGACAACCCGTGGGAGAACCAACGATGAATGTCTCAGTTTGATGGTAGAACCCGGGCTCTGTTTAGCTGGATACCCTAATTATTGAGGTTTTGCAGGAGGGCAGACATGGAAACAAGGTCCAGACAGCTTAGCCCAATCATATGAGCCATAGTCTGTTGTACTTTGTATGTCACTAAATCTACAGCAGAGCTATACCTCCTTTGTTCTCCCTGGAGTCCCTCAGATGGACCCTATTAAGCTCTAGGATATGACCGTGTAATAAGTGTCCCATTTGAAGGGTCTTAAAGGGAGATGAGGTCAGGCCATGGCTGCCAGTTGGTGATATTCTTCTTTTTTCCCTGTGCAGAGAAGAAGAGTCTGAGAAGGAGAAGAAGATCTGGTACTTCAGTACAAAGCCGCAGCTTGACGAGCTATTAGACTGCCTGGACCGGACGCATTATGAGGCCGACCTGTGTAAAACCCTGGAGGACCTCGGAGCAGAAATCCATCGACATATGGATATCACAGAGGAGCTGACCAACAAGGCCAAGGGGAACAACCGTTCCTATCTGTCAGTGGTCAATGGTAAGTGTTCCAGACTTGGGAGGTCTCCTCTACGGCATGGTGGTGTTGAGGACTTCCAAAGGGCCCCATCTACTAAGCGTCTTTATCTTCTGAGAAATAGTTTCTCCCTTTTGTTGTTTTTGGACCGCAAGGTTTTTCTGTGACACTTTAACCTCCCGTCTTTTACAGAGGAGATAACTGATCGTCTGAAAGCCAAGCAGGAGGAAGCAGAGAAGAACAAGGTCTCGGCAGAGGGGGAAAAGACATCGGAGGCGACTGCGACTGAGGGGGAGAGCAGCATAGAAGCTAATTCCGTCTCCAAATCGGAGGCCGAGGGGCTGGACAAAGAGCAGAAAGGAGGTGAGTTCTCTTCCATGTTATAGGTGAAACTATATTGACTATTGGACTGTATTTTGTTGTTGCAGCTTTGTGCAGTAAGGCAGCTGTAGTGATTTATCGGCAGGGAACAGCCAGTCTCATGGAGCTTTGCCCCCGTACTTACTCTTGTATATGTTCATGCAGAGACAGCAGGTGATGAAAGCAGCGTGGAGCACCCCTCATCTATCGATGGCAGCAAAGCCGCAGAGACCCCCAGTAAGGACTCCGAGAACAAGACCGTGCAGAGCAGCAAAGCGGCAGACAGCAGCACTGACCCAGCATCTACCTCTTCACCCCCAGCTACTGCTTCAGGTACCTCCCCTGTCCTGATTCTTCAGTACAGTCCTCGTGCACAGGCCAATCTGACCTAGCTCAGCAGAATTGGTAGACTCACTGCTCCCAAATGTGCCAGTTAAGTTACAGGTGGAGTCTGGTGGGTTGAATCCCCTGTAGGCTCCGCGCCTCAACCCTCCCTGCCCCACTTCCTCCTCACCTCTGTGTATTGCCCATTTTCCTGGTGAGTTTTCTTCAAATGGACGCTTTATCCTCACTGGCAATGTCTGTGGAAAAGTTATCTTCTGACCCCCATATACTAACCTCACCTGTTTTTGCTAGAGAGGTTCTTCTTCTGGACTTGTGACTGTGTCAGTGATGATATCACCCCTCGGTCATGTCGCAGTAGTGCTTGGGCCTAGTGATTGGCTTCTAGGCCTGGGTACTGTCACATGGGAGCAGGTCACATGCTCCATCGTACCCTGAACCTGGTACGCCGGTTGTCGAAGAGCAAGGAGCTGTAAGGGAAGTAGATGGGGCTCAGGGCATGCCCTTTCCATGGACACTGTCACTTCATTTGGCGTGGGGCGAGGTAACAGCGTCACTTTATTTTGAGGAAAAAATGATTGAGACTCTCTTGTAATGTCCATGGCGGGACGTGGAATTTGAGCAGCCACCAGACGCTACATTCTAAAGAGCTGTTAGCTGAATACAACCCATAGCTATCATGTCCACCAATGTACTC